GTCAGGTGATAGATGTATTAGAAAAAAAAAAGGGAATCACTAATTTTTGTTTTAATAGAGTAGACAAATAATGTAAAGATATTTGAACTAATGTTGGCATGTAATCAACATATCATTTGATTGGCAGGTATTAACAATGATTGTGCCTCTGCTTTTAATAATGGTGCTACCTAAGTTAATGAACGCTGCAGATCCAGACACACAGAAGGTAAATTTAGATATCTTCTTTTCTTTTACTTTATTCTAAGTACATCTTAGATTAGAGTTTAACAGATTGATGTTGACATTATGTTGAGTACATCCTACATTAGAGTTTAACAGATTGATGTTGACATTATGTTGAGTACATCCTAGATTAGAGTTTAACAGATTGATGTTGACATTATGTTGAGTACATCCTACATTAGAGTTTAACAGATTGATGTTGACATTATGCTGAGTACATCCTAGATTAGAGTTTAACAGATTGATGTTGACATTATGTTGAGTACATCCTAGATTAGAGTTTAACAGATTGATGTTGACATTATGTTGAGTACATCCTAGATTAGAGTTTAACAGATTGATGTTGACATTATGTTGAGTACATCCTACATTAGAGTTTAACAGATTGATGTTGACATTATGTTGAGTACATCCTACATTAGAGTTTAACAGATTGATGTTGACATTATGTTGAATACATCCTAGATTAGAGTTTAACAGATTGATGTTGACATTATGTTGAGTACATCCTAGATTAGAGTTTAACAGATTGATGTTGACATTATGTTGAGTACATCCTAGATTAGAGTTTAACAGATTGATGTTGACATTATGTTGAGTACATCCTACATTAGAGTTTAACAGATTGATGTTGACATTATGTTGAGTACATCCTACATTAGAGTTTAACAGATTGATGTTGACATTATGTTGAATACATCCTAGATTAGAGTTTAACAGATTGATGTTGACATTATGTTGAGTACATCCTAGATTAGAGTTTAACAGATTGATGTTGACATTATGTTGAGTACATCCTAGATTAGAGTTTAACAGATTGATGTTGACATTATGTTGAGTACATCCTACATTAGAGTTTAACAGATTGATGTTGACATTATGTTGAGTACATCCTACATTAGAGTTTAACAGATTGATGTTGACATTATGTTGAATACATCCTAGATTAGAGTTTAACAGATTGATGTTGACATTATGTTTAGTACATCCTAGATTAGAGTTTAACAGATTGATGTTGACATTATGTTGAGTACATCCTAGATTAGAGTTTAACAGATTGATGTTGACATTATGTTGAGTACATCCTACATTAGAGTTTAACAGATTGATGTTGACATTATGTTGAGTACATCCTACATTAGAGTTTAACAGATTGATGTTGACATTATGTTGAGTACATCCTACATTAGAGTTTAACAGATTGATGTTGACATTATGTTGAATACATCCTAGATTAGAGTTTAACAGATTGATGTTGACATTATGTTGAGTACATCCTAGATTAGAGTTTAACAGATTGATGTTGACATTATGTTGAGTACATCCTAGATTAGAGTTTAACAGATTGATGTTGACATTATGTTGAGTACATCCTAGATTAGAGTTTAACAGATTGATGTTGACATTATGTTGAGTACATCCTACATTAGAGTTTAACAGATTGATGTTGACATTATGTTGAGTACATCCTACATTAGAGTTTAACAGATTGATGTTGACATTATGTTGAGTACATCCTAGATTAGAATTTAACAGATTGATGTTGACATTATGTTGAGTACATCCTACATTAGAGTTTAACAGATTGATGTTGACATTATGTTGAGTACATCCTACATTAGAGTTTAACAGATTGATGTTGACATTATGTTGAATACATCCTAGATTAGAGTTTAACAGATTGATGTTGACATTATGTTGAGTACATCCTAGATTAGAGTTTAACAGATTGATGTTGACATTATGTTGAGTACATCCTAGATTAGAGTTTAACAGATTGATGTTGACATTATGTTGAGTACATCCTACATTAGAGTTTAACAGATTGATGTTGACATTATGTTGAGTACATCCTACATTAGAGTTTAACAGATTGATGTTGACATTATGTTGAATACATCCTAGATTAGAGTTTAACAGATTGATGTTGACATTATGTTGAGTACATCCTAGATTAGAGTTTAACAGATTGATGTTGACATTATGTTGAGTACATCCTAGATTAGAGTTTAACAGATTGATGTTGACATTATGTTGAGTACATCCTACATTAGAGTTTAACAGATTGATGTTGACATTATGTTGAGTACATCCTACATTAGAGTTTAACAGATTGATGTTGACATTATGTTGAATACATCCTAGATTAGAGTTTAACAGATTGATGTTGACATTATGTTTAGTACATCCTAGATTAGAGTTTAACAGATTGATGTTGACATTATGTTGAGTACATCCTAGATTAGAGTTTAACAGATTGATGTTGACATTATGTTGAGTACATCCTACATTAGAGTTTAACAGATTGATGTTGACATTATGTTGAGTACATCCTACATTAGAGTTTAACAGATTGATGTTGACATTATGTTGAGTACATCCTACATTAGAGTTTAACAGATTGATGTTGACATTATGTTGAATACATCCTAGATTAGAGTTTAACAGATTGATGTTGACATTATGTTGAGTACATCCTAGATTAGAGTTTAACAGATTGATGTTGACATTATGTTGAGTACATCCTAGATTAGAGTTTAACAGATTGATGTTGACATTATGTTGAGTACATCCTAGATTAGAGTTTAACAGATTGATGTTGACATTATGTTGAGTACATCCTACATTAGAGTTTAACAGATTGATGTTGACATTATGTTGAGTACATCCTACATTAGAGTTTAACAGATTGATGTTGACATTATGTTAAGTACATCCTAGATAGAGTTTAACAGATTGATGTTGACATTATGTTGAGTACATCCTAGATTAGAGTTTAGGTTCGGATTGAAACTTTTTGGAAATGTAAATTATTTCCTTATTTCTGTCAGGATTATCATCTCCTTTTCGCTAATTTTGTTAACTCTAATTAATTTCTAATTACCTTTCTGCTTAAAAAACTAGTGCTGGCAGAGTGGTAAAGCGCTTGGCTTCTGAACCGGGAGTCCCGAGTTCAAATCCTGGGATTTTTTATTTTAGGATCTTTGGGCACAGTCCACCCAGCTCTAATGGGTACCTGACATTAGTTGGGGAAAAGTAAAGGCGGTTGGTTGCTGTGCTGGCCACATGACACCCTCGTTAACAATGGGCCATAGAAACAGATGACTTTTACATCATCTGCCCTATAGATTGCAAGGTCTGAAAGGGGAACTTAAAAAAAATTAGCAATATTTATCATATTAAACAAGGAGAGTTTCTATGGTGGACATGGCGTATATGATGATAATCACAGCAAATATGTAAATGATTAGGCTTTTATTCTGTATCTCTTATATTATCAGCTAGGTTTTTAAAAGGAGACCAATAAATGTATACATGCCAACCTTAACAATCATCATATCAGATTGTCTTTTTTTTTTTTTCTTTTTGCAGGAAATGCAGAATCAAATGAATGCCTTAAATAAAGGTCCTAGTCTTCCTGATGCTTCAGAGTTAATGTCCTCTTGGTTTTCTGGGGGCTCCTCAAAGAAGGCTGTGAAACCAAAAGCATCAGCGTCTAGCAAGCGGAAATAACAGTTTGAATGGGAATGCTGTATTGTGTGAAAGCATGCATGTAATAGGTGGACATGAATGGATGTCTGTTAACTTAACTTGTATTGAGTGTATTGGATGTTTGGTTTTGTTCTGACTAGTGTGATACATTTTCTCCTACATACTTTTCAATCTTTCTGTTCTCATTTATGTAATCAGGTTATTTTTATATTTTTTTTAGTGTTTTAATCTTGTCACTCTGTCTTTTATTTTTAATCTTTGCCTTTCTTTTTTTATTTTTTAGATAAGAGTAATAATGTCCATGTAAAATACTGTCTCTTACACATGATGAAGATTTTGTCTACTTTTCTTTTACTGATATAAAAAACATTTATAATTTGAGCGAGTTCTCTACAAAATATTTTTACAATGTAATTTTTTTAAGATTATCTCTTTAGTATTAGTCGTAATTCTAAAACACAATTACAGTTAGAAGTCTGTTATAGTTGATTTTGTTTCTATAAGATTTTTTTTTTATTGGAAGTCAAATCCTAAAATTTAATATCACTTTGTATTATTTATATTAGTTCTTTTTATTGACTTTAAGATTAACATTATTCACACTGTGTACACAAATTGAATTAGTTTTATCTAATAACTCCCTTGGTATGAAACCTATTGTGATAGCAATATTTCATGTGTCTGTCATTTCCAAATAGTACTTTAAAAAAAAACTGATTGGCCTGACACATTCCTGCACAGATATTTTATGGTATTATTAATGCAGTTCCAAAAAACTTTCCAATGACTTGACTTTGTGTCCTGGCTTCATGCTATATTGACCTATGAGCAATGGTGAAACTATTCCATTATTTTTCTATAAATCAGTTTGAGCACTTTGTACACACATTACACAATTCAATATTTCATACACACTTTGTGTACGTTCTTGAACACATTAAATGTGTTTGATATAGTTTTCTGTGGACAGACCTTGTGACATAGTAGAAATAAATCCAATATTTATTTTCCTGTTGTACTTTCATGTGTCTAGTGTCACTAATAATTTAGGTGAATTAAAAGAGAAACTTGTTTCTTTGGCCAAAACATGATGATATTGTGACCAGCACAGCTATATTTGGCCAACAGGTATCTGCTAAAACTAGATGGACTCAAAAATAAAGGGTTTGTTTAGAAATCTCCAAGTCTCTCTAGACTAGGATACAAATTCAGTTTGTATCTGGTGATACTTTCACACTGTATGTTGTTCTACAAAGTCAAATAAATAAATACACTGAGAACATTTTTTTTTTTTTGTTTTTTGATTTATTGAATGAACAAAGAAAAGACAAAAAATCTCATCCAACTGATATCAGACATACACTGAAACAACAAAAATATAACAATTTATCAAATTTAAAGGAACCTGTTACATATTTTTAACATTAATAGTCAAATGTACAAAACGGCTCAAATTCTCACTAGTTTAATGCTTTGTAATGCCTGGCCTGGCATTGAATTATTAAGGCTCACTCAAAATAGAATCTTTAGATGTATGTTATTTAAACCATAGCTTTTTTTTTTTGACTGGAAAATAGTTTCAAAACAATATGGACAATGATAAAAAAAAATTTGACCAGTACAGGGTCTCAATAAAAAAAATGAACTAATAGGCCTGCACATGAATTATTCCCAAGTAAATAGAAGAGAAACATTAATTCTATTAGCTATTCTTTGTAAAGAAAAACAACCATAACCATATCATTATGAACTTTGAACTGATCTACATTCTGACATACTTTGAAGCAAATATCAACTATTAAATGATTACAGGTCAAGTTTGTCTGAAGAGCCCTGATATTTTTTTTTACTTCTTTGACCTATTTGTGAGAAGCAGGATTTTGGTTTTATTTTGTTGCAACATAGTCAAAGTATAATTCTAGAACCAGATATTAAAATTAGCTTGTCAACAAACAGATATACACAAGTCTACACAATACCATCAAAGTCATTAAGCCTTCATTTTTCTGATGCTTATGTCTGTATATTTTATTCTGGTCTTCTACAACACAAAAAATAATAAAATTTAATGAAATCATTTTCAGTATTACTGGTATTAAATATAAATAAAAAATCTTTTTTTTTTTTAAAGTTTGTCTTGTCCAGCTTAAGAGATGTTGCCCTTTTTGCTAAGTTATTGATCTCTCACTGTTAAATTGATTGTTTGGTCATTTGGTTCAGCCATGTACTCAGTAATTGTTAAAGTTCTTATCACAGTCAAATAATAAATCATGCTATAAATACTCAAGTACAAAATAGGTCTATTTTTTTATCCACACAAAAATTTCTTCCCAAAAAACTGAACTTTCTTGTCAAAATTGAGAGACTTGATTGGAGTGTTGATCTCATAAAATGGATTCAATGCAAACTGTAAATAAATAAATAAAAAAAAAGGATCATTTTTAAAATACTGGTAATTGAAAAAAAAAAAAAGTATCTTGAGATTGATTTGCAGGCGAAGTAGATTTCACATACCTCTGGTCTAAAACTAAGAGAGAACTGTGTTGCCAACACAAAAGATTGTTCCAGGCCACACAGTGTTTGAATTGAAAACCAGTTCATCACATGCCAATGGTCAGTCAGCCTATGCATGCTTATTTATATAGGGAGCACATTAAGAGAAGAGTCCATTGTTATTCAGTAAAACTAATAAAGTCAATCTCTTTTTAACTTTATAGAAATATGAATACCAAATATATTTGGTAGATTTTATTATACAATTTGCTTTGGAATTCTGACCAACCTTACATTCTTAATTTTGTGTGTGTTGCCAACTTAAGTTACATATATAATATTGTACTTACATTTGCCATTTCACTAAATTGTAAATTTAGAAGGTTTACATTGACAGTTCTTTCTACTTGCTTAGCTAAATCTAGATCTCGCAATATTTCTATTTGTCGAGTACAGTTTTTAAAAAATGGTGTAACAGGAACAAGCTATGTGAAAGGAATACCTTTTGTTTCATTTTTCTCAAGTTCTTATTCATTCTTGTGTTTATATTTGCAAGTTTACTTCCTTATGGTCAGAAAGTGTATGCTGCATCACGTTAAGCTTGTACGCATTATGAAAGGTATCCGCACTGTTATCAACAAACGCCACTCACAGAGTCAACTTCCACAAGATATATTGTATGGTGTTCTCATAGAGGAGAGCTGCAGGTCGTCCACACGTAAGAGACACTGATGAAAGCACTCTTCGAGATCAACACCAACAGTTGGAAGAAAATGCACAGGAAAGGGTCCTGGATCACAGATAGTGAACACACCAGAAGTAGGGAAAAAAACTGAAATTGCATGTGATTACAAAACCCTAACCTGTGAGCATGAATGTCAAACAAGGATTGACTTCTTTAAGTCACATGAGATTTGCAAAGGGAAAAGATTATTTCTCAAAATGTAAAATGCCCCAGTATGCATCAGTCAACTTTAGCAGTCACTGAATGACTATTTTCAAAAAATATCATTTATTGAAGGTAAAAAAAACAACTTATAACAAAAGTAAACTTACTAAATTGAAATTTAGTTTAGCTACCCCCGCCCCCTTTAAAAAAAAAAAAATAAGTAAAAAACTAAACAAAATACCTTGACATATGTTTCATAAACTTCGTTAAAGAAATTTTTGATACCCTCCTCATTTTTCACATCATGAAGCATCAAAAATCTCATCCCTGGGCAACGTTGGTTAAGGATAATTTTTTTTGTCTAACAAGAAAGAAACTTAACTTGTTTCACCTCCTTGTTCAACACATACTGATGGAATTGTTATTTTTTTTTCCCATTTATCATGCAGTACCATGTTAGTTATGATTAAACTTGCTATAACTTTTTTCCATCATGCTATGGCTATAATTCAAAAAACAGAAATGGAAAAGTGGTTTGAGTGCTGGGACAAGTCCCAAAAAGCCTGTGGAGTCTGGGTGCGCATGAAGCGCCCTGACCTCACTTCCCCATGGTGGAGGCTGTCCAGGCCTGAGCAAGCTATTATAGCACAGTGCAGGACAGGCCATTGTCCTATTGGCTCATATTTCTCATGGCTATGGCCAAATTTAGATTCACGGTGCCCCCGCTGCGGGGAGGAAGAGGACTGCCCCAGACTTGTTGATCTCCATCTCGACAGGGCTGGGAAACCAAAAATTCTAGACCTGTATGGCGACATTTATGCACTACGCAAGACAGCAGGGTTTCTGTCCAGGGCTTTTGCAAGAGAGGATTTGAGCCTCTCAAGCCCTCACTCAAATGGAGTTTGATGATGATGATAACTTTTTTTGTTTGCTTTCAGAAAATGTTATAATTTGGTAAAGAATTAAAGGAAAGTGTATGACTTTTTTTTTTAAATACTGGTAATAAAATTAACTTTCACGAAATAAAAAAAGTAAAGTATCCCTTTCATACCTTACAATCTATGGGGCAGATGATATAAAGCTCATCTGTTAATGTGGTCTGCTGTTTATGAGGATGTCATGTGGCTAACACAATGACCAATCACTTTTACTTTTTCCCAGTTAATGTCAGGTACCCATTAGAGTTAAATGGACTCAGGGACACCCTAAAAATCTTCACAAGGATTCAAACCTGAATTCGATTTTTAATTATGAACATTACAAATGAACAATTTTTAACTGTAGACAAGTCGCTCAGATCTAGACTAAATGTAGGGAAATATTTTATGATCCAAATTGAATAACATTTTTTTTCCAATGATATTTATACATATTTTCACAGAACACATAAAACTGAAATCTTGAGATAATTGTCCCACTTAATAACTTCAGAAAACTCGTGCGTAAAAAAAAACAATTGAAAATTTAAGAGCTTGTTTTTAATACATTTTACTTGGTAAAACATGTTCAACCTAATAGGAGACTTTAAAGATTAAATTTAAAATAATTATAAACATTCTGAGTGGAAAGAAAACAATACAAACAAGTTTTTGAGCAAAGACTATGTTTGTAAAATGTTTGTTTGTTTTAAAATGTTTTACATGTTTCCGATGTTCCTTCAGAGTTGAAGATAATCTACTTCCTAGTCCAAACCTCCCTCGTGATGATGGGGATGGCAGTAGGCAGAGTATGAGACAACTGAACCACAGTCCAACGCACATACCGTAAGAGCAGGCAGCGAAGCTTTGACAGAGAAGGCTGTTTCAAGTTGACTATGGGAGGCCAGAGAGAAAGAACTATAAGAAAAAGAATGCATGCATAAATTAGTAAAAGAAATGAATCAAAGGATACGTCCAGCAGTGACAAAAGCTGACACAAACCACTCGTTAAATTTGTCGACTATCTTAAGATACATATTGTTGGTAGACCACATCTGCTCATCAACCAGATCAAGAGCTGCATGTGCAATGAACTGATTCAGATGTCGATGGTCATCTTTCTGCAGGGCAAAATAACAAGAACTTATTTTAATACAAGTCTACAATCATATTTCTTTATAACCAGTGTCAACAAAATCTTTTACCTATCTTTTAAAAAAAATCTAATATGCAACTTTATGGAAAAAAAAACATTTTATTTTAAAAACCAAAGAGTATGCTTTTAACTCCAAATGTGATGGGCAGACGGATGGAAGGACAAACAAGACCACAAAAACTAAGGCTTTTTCCCTTTTCGGGAACACAAAAATTTAATTGAAATGAGTACCTCTGTAATTCTAAAATAACATAAATGAATTTTTTTAAATTATTAAAATAGATTGTAGAAGTTAACAAGTGAACCTTTTCACTGGGTTTGTTAGGGGGAGAGAATTCCACTTCATAGACTGGGTTATCATGGTGTCCTACCACAACAAAGTAGTAATTGCCAGCCATCTTGTGAAACTATTTTTATACCTGCAAATGGACAAAGATGAGAGTATGAAAGTAGACAACTACATTTATTCAGAATATACTGGAGAAAAAAAGAAAAACCTATTTTAAGACTTGTTAATTATATTACACCAGGTAACGATTCAATCGCTATAAAGGCAGATTTATAGTTCGTAAAAAAATTTGGAATTCAGAACCTTTATAATAGTGAAGTTCAAATTATAACCTACACAGCTAATTCTAGCATTGTTAAAATAAGCTAACTTCATATTACTTCAATTATTAGTAACAAATACTAAATTATCCCCCTTTAGTTTCTGGAAGAAGATTTTAAAGAATTTCAGTTGTCTTAGCTTTTATGCCTATGACACTCTTAGACTTTGTCAAATCTAATAACTAATACATTTGTTCATAAGGCAGTAATTGTTGTTAATTTGATATGAAATTTAGGATTTTTAGGGATGTTCAATATTGCAATTCTCAATTCAGTTTGGTTAGGGTAGGTCAGTTCGTTCAGTTTGCAGTTTTAAATTTTAGGGTGGATTCAGTTGTAAGTAAGATTCAAGTTTGGTCTAGTTCAGTTGTTTTTTTCCCATCTATACTTTCTACAACAATAGCCTACATTTAGTCATGTGCCAATCTAGTTCTGCATGTTAGAGAGAAGCGGTGACCAGGTGCACTCTGTTAGTAGGGGCCTTCGATGGGAAGTTTTACCACTAAGCCTAAGCTAATGCTAATAAAAATATTTATAAAATAATTATAATAGTATTTATAATGATCTACATCTACTCTAGTTCCAAGTCTTGATCTCTAATTATATAAATAATAAGTAGATCTAGACTGAATCTAGATCTAGATCTCAATTAAAATTAACACAATCCTGACAATGAACCAACAAAGTTTGCAAGTAAAAGGGATTCAAGTATGAAGTAAAGTAACAAAGGTCATTTATTTTAAGCGTTAATCTTAAGTTTAGCCTAGTTTAGGCTTAGGCTTAGGTGATTTTCAAAAACCTTATCATTTATTTGATATAGACATATAAAAATTAAATATAGATCAAGTTGTGACTTATGGCACTTACTAAGTTACTATGTCTTCTATTAGATCTAGAGTAGATTTATAGATCTAATATATAATTTAGAATCTAGACAATATAGATAATAGTATACAACTACTAGAGTAGATCTATCTAGAATAATCTTGAATCTAGATCTACTTAGAGTTAGAGTCTTAGTCTAAGTCTTAGATTCTAGATCCAGATATAGAAGAATATTATTTCATTATAGATCTATTTAGTATTACAATATCATGATGTCTTAGTCTAGAATGTCTAGTCAATACTTTAATAGGTAGGACTAATCATTAATGTCACTAATCCAGAATTGGGCTATCGATCGTCTAATATAGATCTAGTACCATAT